GGGGGGGGATGCTGGAAGCGGATTATTGGAAGGATGAGTCGAAGAGGGTATGCAGGGTGTGTGGGGGGGAAGAGGAGACGTGGGAGCATGTGGTTGAAAGGTGTATGGATGAGCCGGAGAGTGAGTGGAATAGAGCGTTAGTAGAGAAGGTATGCGATTTGTTGAGTGAAAATGGAAGAGGCGCGAGTTGGCTGAGAAAACTGGAAATGAGAAGGAAGGAAAGAGAGAAGAAACGGGAGGGAACGCGGGGGACGGGATAGGTGATTGATGGAAATGGAAAAGCCACGAAACCGGAAGCGGTGGCCCGGGCGGTGAGAGGAGAGAGAAGGAAATTAGGCAGGGAATAAGAGGCACAGAGAGGGAGAGAGGAGACATAGTAGTTGGGGATAGGATAAGATAGGTTTAAGTTCGTGGTAAGTTAGGCTAAAGAAGAGAAAATGTAAGAAATTGTAACGGTGACGGAAGCCGATCAAAAGTCCGTAAATGGAATAAAAGTATATTATCTATCTATAGAAAAATTCAGTAGAATTCGATTTTTCTACATAACTTATTTTATTGAAATATTTTCTATAGAATTTTATCGGCTCAAATTTCCCAATTTTTTTTGTTTGATTTTCTTGATGAAAAGAAGGGAAAAATATAATTTAAAAAAACTTGGAAAACTTGTGCTGAGGAAATTGTACAGAAAATGCCTCAACAGAATAAATTGTAGAGAAAAATCGACTTCTATTGCCTTTTTCTATACAATATTTTTTTCTATTGAACATTTCAATAGAATCGGCAAAAAAAACTAATAGAGAGTTCAATATAAATCCAATAAAATTGTGTAGCGAATTCGCTAGGTTTTTTTATTAAATTATTTCGTGTGTGCGCTCGACAACGACGACGTTTCTGGTGACTTATCCATTTTTTTTTTTCAATATATTGAAGTTCTGAATTTATTGAGAGGGTCATAGGGTGATGCGACCGGGAGATCACGTATTCAAAAAAATATTCTATAAAAAAAGTCAACACCATTCAACTTTTCTATACGATTTATTCTGCTGAGATATTTTCTATAGAATTTCCTCGGCTCAAGTTATCTATTTTTTATTTATTTTCTTGATGAAGAGAAAAGAAAAATAAAATGAAAAAAAACTAGGAAAACTTGACCTCAGGAAATTCTATAGAAAATATTTCAATAGAATAAATTATATAGGAAAAGCGAATTCCATTGACTTTTTCTATAGAATATCTTCTATTGAGCATTTCAATAGAATTGGCCAAAAATTAATAGAAAGTTCAATATAAATCGAATAGAATTGTCTAATGAAATCGCTAGGTTTTTCGATTAAATTTTTTCTAAGGAAAAATACTTATCATCAGTATTTTTTGATCACAAAGATTATTTTTTGTCATTCCGGCCGTGAGGCAGCGCTTCACGGACGCTCCGCTCCGCGTCCGTGAATCTCTGCCTACGGCCGTCATAACAAAAAATACTGTTCGTCATACGGCCAAAAAAAACTTTTCTAGCTCATATGATTGCAGCTCTCGCCTTCGGCTCGGGCTGCAAACTCATATTCGCCAGAAAAGTTTTTTTCGGCCTAGTGACGAAATATACTATTACTCTTACTGTCCGATGTCCCTTGACCGTTGAAAAAAAATGGATGACGTGTTTGGAAAAACAAATAAGCCATCATAAGTTTGAAACAAAATATCCTCGAGTAAGACACTTAGAATCTCTAGAATACATGTCTTAATATCTTAATTCGAGAGACTAAAAAAGACCAAAATGTACTGACACTAGAGTCTTAAAAAAGGAGGACAAAAGTGCCGTAATTTCAGTAACCTGATTCTCTGGTATTGTAGAACCAAAATAGAGTGCTAAGTACAATGAACAAGAAGCCGATTGGAGTATTGAGTACCCTCGAAACATCAAAACGAAAAAACAAGAAGAAATTTCCGCAATTTTTCGGCGTTCCGTTGACGTCCAATACAAAGCGAATCCAACTCAGTCGAACATCACTCGTAATGATCATCACATTTAATCCGTACATTCATGTTAACCTGTTAACACGTTGTGGTTGAGATACCAAGGCATCCGTGAGACAATTCGTCAAGCTTAATTGCCTTCTGGTAACATTTCACGATTGGTAGTAATGCATTTCCATCTGCCCTCGACAATGAGTGCCAGAAACATGTGGTTTTGACTCGGAATTATTGCCAGAGAGTCTTGCATTCAGATTAACACAATAATGTTAATTGAATTATTGTTTCTGAGATATAATAAAAATTAATTTCGACGAATTAAAAGCGTTTCAGCTGCATCTGACCGACGATTTAAACCAAATAATTCGACTTCTTTTCGTTTTCAGGAAAAATTGTTCTTAAATTTTTGCTCAACTCACAATCAGTCATAAGATAATAATGTTGGCATAAAAACATCTCGACTGGAATTAAACGTGATGATGTATTGCAAATATTTTTAAAAAATCGTATCATTGGATGATTATTCCTGTGATGTAGACTCGAAATTATTGCCAACGTTTTGCATTCAAATTGACACAATAATTTTAATTGGATAATTGTTCCTCAAATGTAATAAAAATTAATGGCATTGAATGAAAAATTTTTCAGCTGCATCTGACAGAATATTTGGACACAATAAGTCGTCTTCTTTTCATTTTCAGAGAGAATCATTCTTGAATTTTTGCTCAGCTCCGTCATTAAATAATAATCTTGGCATAAAACCATCTTGAGTGGTATTAAAGGTGATGATGCATTGCGAATATTAAAAAAAGACTCTCATAATCCGAAGATTATTCCTCTGGTTTGGACTCCGAATTATAGCCAGTCTGTTAAATTCAAATTGACACAATAATTTAAATTGAATAATTATTCCTCGAATATAACCAAAATGAATGTCGTCGAATGGAAAGGGTTTCAGCTGCATCCGACGGACTATTTGAACTAAATAATTCGTTTTCTTTTCGTTTTCAGGAAAAATTGTTCTTGAATTTTTGCTCAACTCACAATCAGTCATAAAATAATAATCTTGGCATAAAAACATCTCGAGTGGAATTAAATGTGATGATGCACTGCGAATGTTCAAAAAATATTCCTCTATTTCGTCGCCACCTCGCAGCCCATTAGTATGATTTCACCGGTTAGTACTTAGTGATTCACATAATCCGATGATTACAGTATGCAAAAGTGCCACGAGTGTCAGACTCTAAAGCATCGAAAATCTGCCAGATGGCAGAATACCCTGGGTCAACATTAGTTTCTTACGTACCAAAACTGACACCCAACTATTTTCAGATATTATATTTTAAGAAATTTAATTACCCACCCTGCGGGTCAAATGGGCGTGCAAAGTGGTCTATGCATCGGGTCTCTCAATACAAATGTGCCTCCATACGTAAAGTGACAAGGATATTTCGAGGTACACTCAGACTTCCATTCCGACTTTACGATATACTGCGTTATTATTATTACACATAACGTTATTATTATCCTCGTCAACGCGTTCATCGATTAGGTATAGAGTGAGTGTAAGAGAGAGGGGAGGGGGAGAAGAACAGAGTGAGATGGTGCAGCATGCTTCTGCTGTGGAACTTCGTCTGATAATCCGTGCCAGGTGCAAGTAGTGCATCATTATTAATGCTCGCTGCTGATTTCAGATTTTGTTTTATCTGCAATTAATTTTCGTTCCATCATTCAGTGTTGCATATTCAATATCCTTCGATATCAATTCCAATCGATTGAAATGTCATTTCAATCCGGAAATACTGGATCAATACTGTGAAAGTCTCAGATATTGAAGAATATTTCAGCAGCGAAGTGGCAGAACAATTCTTTTCACACATGCCATTGAATTATTTAAATGACTGCCACCACTTCACTGATGCAATAATTAATGAAAGCGGAGAATTTGTAATTTTCCTCTTTCATCGTAGATATTTTAATATGTACGTGCGTGTTCAAAAGTGTAAGTGAAAATGATCAGTGCATCATTATTAATATTCGCTGTTGATTTCTAATTTTTTTTATTTGCAATTAATTTTCGTTCCATTATTCAATGTTGCATATTCAATATCCTTCGATATCAAGTTGAATCGATTGAAATGTCATTTCAATTCGTAAATATTGGATAAATAGTGTGAAAGTCTCAGATATTGAAGAATATTTCAGCAGCGAAGTGGCAGAACAATTCTATTCACACATGCCATTGAATTATTAGATAACTGTCACCACTTCACTGATGCAACAATTAACGAAAGCGGAGAATTCGTAATTTTCCTCTTTCATCGTAGATATTTTAATATGTATGTGCGTGTTCAAACGTGTAAGTGAAAATGATCAGTGCGTCATTATTAATACTCGCTGCTGATTTCAGATTTTGTTTTATCTGCAATTAATTTTTGTTCCATCATTCAATATTGCATATTCAATATCCTTCGATATCAATTCAAATCGATTGAAATGTCATTTCACTTTGTAAATACTGGATAAATACTATTCACACATGCCATTGAATTGTTTAGATGACTATCACCACTTCACTGATGCAACAATTAATGAAAGCGGAGAATTCATAATTTTCTTCTTTCATCGTAGATATTTTAATATGTATGTGCGTATGCAAAAGTGTAAGTGAATATGATCAGTGCGTCATTATCAATACTCGCTGCTCATTTCAGATTTTTTTATCTGCAATTAATTTTCGTTCCATCATTCAAAGTTGCATATTCATTATCCTTCGATATCAATTCAAATCGATTGAAATGTCGTTTCAATTGGTAAATACTGGATGAATACTGTGAAAGTCTCGGATATCGAAGAATATTTCAGCAGCGAAGTGGCAAAACAGTTCTATTCCCACATGCCATTGAATTATTTCGATGACTGTCACCACTTCCCTGATGCAGCAATTAACGAAAGCAGAGAATTCATAATTTTCCTCTTTCATCGTAGATATTTTTATATGTACGTGCGTGTGCAAAAGTGTAAGTGAAAAAAATGTATTGTAAGAGTTGCAGAAAAGACATAATATAAATTAGATTTGTTGCATTTAGTATATTACGTGAGATATATAAATTGTAGACCCATTAATTCGTGGCGAACAATATCTCACCTTCTTCTCTTCTATCACCTCACCAGGACGAAGTTTCCTATTGTCCTATGAATCAAAGGGTTAACGTGTGAATGTGTGGAGTGTAATGTGTCTTACAGCTACAAATAGTATAAATTATTTCATTTGTTCCTCTCTTCACCATTGAATTCAGCGATCTGAAATTGCGAATGACCTACCCCGAGAGCATAATACTAAATTGTTTCATGAATTCTAAATAATATCATAGAATAGGGGAAAATGGTTTGAGGCACAGGATTGCTTCAGAAACTGCGAATACTGGACGATAATACGGGGAGCGAATACTCGTAACAATTGGCTACGATCACTCAATAGTCTACATAGCAAAATAAACAATTGTGAGAACAAAACATTAAGAAAGGAGATAGATAAATGAATACTTGACAGAGTGCTAGGATGATAACACAAACAGGTAACGAATAATCTACTGGCCTCAAAAAACCTCAGAATAAAAATTAAGAGAAATAACGCAGTGACTAATGCAGTGAAGTGATGAGACGAGCGCAACTTTGAGGTGAATTTTTCATGAACATCTTCCTTCACATTTAGGGAAGGAGATTGAGTCATCTCGTTTCATCTATTCACAGCGAAATGATTGAAGAAAAGAGAAAACATTACTGTTAATGATCCTGCTGATGGTCGAATACCCCTTATGAATATTCATATATTGAATCGAGTTCTTCGCGTGTGGAAAAAATTTAACAGAAAAATTTTTCGTTTTCTTCAAGACATTCTGGTGGTTTTTTGCATCAATTCTATAGAAGATTATGGAACTTTACAGTATCATTTTATAGATAAAAAAATGTCAATAGATCTTGATTTTTTTATAGAAATTCTTCGGCGTAAGATTTCCAAGTTTATTCCGCTGACTTTATCATTTGTTTCTCACAACAAAATCCAAGAAAAACACTTGAGATTCGCAGCCCGGAATTCTTATAGAAAAAATGATAGAATCTATAGAATTTTTATATAAACGTATATTTATTTAGAAACGCACGGAAAAATTGCATAACTTTTAATAGAATTGGTGCATGAAACGAATAGATTTTTCAGCGGAATTCTTATATAGAGAAAGGAATGGTTGTGTTCTTGTGATTCGATTCGTTCCTGAATATCAGACCATCAACAGGTTTATATCCCAGGACCTCTAAGAATCTCCCAGTAACATACCTCGTCACTGATGATAAGACTCGCTCTGCGACCCAATTCCTCCGGAGGAATGAGTGATCCTCTTCGGCTTCCAGCACCACTGGGTACAAGAGAAGGTCTTCTACTTCCAAGTGGCGAAGGAGTCGGTGATTTCTCCTTGGAGACTTCGATAGTCGGTGCCTCAGGGGCTTTGATCTCCGGTGTTTTGATCGACGGAACTTTCGGCTAAAAACAATGAGCCCCGATTCACTTATCGTAACCCGGAATAATCGCAGATAATTCGGTTTATCGATAGGCGAGAGCCCTCCGAGCCCTCAAGTGACTTGTTGAGTCCATGACTGACCACACAGTTCAGGCTGAATTGGTGACCAGTGGTAACAAGTCACACGACTCTACATCTTAAAACCGAAAATAGAAAATACGTGTCCCTGTGACTGTTGCCCGACCATTCCGGCCGCGATTTAATCTTTTTTTGTAATTAGATAATTGACGATGTGCGGAGAGGGCCGAGGAATTGCCGCGTTCATGATGATAATCATTGGCACAACTGATATGAGCAATAGTTATTTGATGAAAATAGCGTTTTCTACGAGTGGTATTCATCGTGTGCCAAAAAAAACGTTTCATTTGGATGATTTTGCACGATTAAATGGAGTGAGAAGACAAGTATAATTATCTGTAGAGTGTTCCATTAGTTCTCGGAGGAAGCCGTCGAGGAATAACGAGTGTTGAATTTCGAGCGAAAATATTTGGGAACATTTGAAATTCACAGAGAAAAAGTTTTTGATTTTTAGAAACATTTCACTTATTTTCAAGAACATGTCATTTATTTTGAGCAATATATCTGATCATTAGTGATTTCTATAATCGGAATTTAGTAAAAAATAGAGATGGATCCCTCACCCAAAAAAATAATACTTTATTTTAAGATTTCAAATGACTTAAGCCCCGGGAGGATTATCTTTCGAACGTTATCTCGATTGTTTTTCCATCTTCATAATGTAAAATTTATTACAATTTCCATTGGATTTTACATCACAAAGGAGTTCCTAAAAATCATGATTGTACAATCATAATTTTTGGAAATTTCAGGGCTATGTAAAGCTGAATAGCAATTGAAGATCATTTCAAATTATTAAATTGAAAGAAAAATCAAGATCACGTTCGAAAGATAATCCACCCGAGCCCTAAAATAAGCATTTCAAAAGTCTTCATTTGAAGCCTGAAAGTCTTAAGTTGAGAGTTTCCAAAGTCTCAATTTATTTATTTATTGATTCATCTATTTATTTATTTAGAATTATAAATCTTTTGGGGATGAGTCCCTAAAAATTTAGCTACGGATCCCTGAAAATCAAAACTTTTTTTCCTCTGCAGTCATTTTGAGAGACATTAGAAGACTATTTTGCGCTTACCCCTGACTCGAACTTCTGAGTTGTTGGACGATCGAGTTTGGTTTTGTCGCGGCCCTCATACGCGCTGAACTCGAATTCCTGAGGTTTCTCCAGAACTGGACGCTCATAATCCGGTATCTCTGGCAGCTCGTAGCTCTTCTCCTTGTCCGCCTTGGATCCCTTGACCTTCTTCACGTCCTGCTTCTCCCCTCTCTCCGTTTTCTAATTTTTTTGTTTCGAAATAAAACATTCTTTAATCATGATTGCTGAATCATGAGGGTTTACATGCTGGTTACTACATGCTATCACCACGTCGATTGTAATGGGTGATTGTTGGCTTTATTTTCTAAAGCTGTTTGCAGATATATTTCGGCCAAGGTGAAACAAAAAAAAATTCTCATGTTTGCGGGTGAAGTTTAGGAATAGTTTAGGAGAAATTGAAGTTGAGTCTGACGTTTGCATGCGGAGAAAAAATTCTAGTAAAGAGTCGCAGAAAACGCACACGCATGGAAAAATTGAATAGAAAAGCCTTGCGAATTCACTAGAATATTGTATTGAATTTTATTGAACTTTCTATTAGTTTTGGACAAATTCTATTGAGAAATTCTGCAGCTTATCTGCGCGTTTTTTCCAATAGATACAATTTATTCTATAGAGGTATTTTCTATCGAAATGCCTTGGCTCAAATTTTCTAACTTTTTTCTTCGATTGTGTAAAATGAAGAGAGAAGAAACAGAGGAGAAACACTTGGGAAATTCATGTGTATTTTTCTTTTCTTTTCATCAAGAAAATCAAACAAAAAAACTTGGAAAATTTACGCCGAGGAAAATCTACAGAAAATATCTCAATAGAATAAGTTGTATAGAAAAATCTCATTCTATTGACTTTTGCTATAGAACATTTCAATAGAATGGGCGAAAAACTAATAGAAAGTTCAATAAAAATTCAATAGAATTGTCTAGCAAATTCGCTAGGTTGTTCTATTAAATTTTTTCGTGTGTGTGATGTTAGGAAAAGAAACAAAAAAGAAAATAAAGACGTAGGAAAGATTGGATGGTGATATGGCAGAGGATGAATAATTCTGATGTCTCTTTTCACAGGGATACCTTCAGGTCGGGAATAATAAAGCCATTTTCTGATGTTTCAGATTTTTTAGGCTCTCGGACAACTGGTTTGAGTTGGATTGTTTTGAAGGAATCGGCATCTATCAGTGATATCCTACGCATTGGTTTGTTGATTACTCCGAGTTCAGCTCGCACTGGCTACATTGACACAGGATGATGGGTTTTTGGGTTTAGGTACAGTATTTAAAACCAATTGAACAAGTAATTGGATTAACTAATTTTGAAAGATAATTTACAACAGGATTTGGAAATAACGAGTATTTACAAATTTTGGTCAAGTGACTCTTGAAGGAGAGACTTACCTTGAGTTTTACGTCGAGGTTTTTCTCTTCCGGCTGAAATTAAAGAAATTTTTGTGAGATTTTTCGAACTGCGAGACCATGAATTTCAAGGTATATCCCGAAAAAATAGGTTTTTATTATGATTGTCCGCTGGTTTTTCATAGATAATGTTTATAATATTTCCCAGCGATTAAAAAAAAATTCTAACCAGCTGTACTACACGGTTTACGAGATGATTAATAATGAAATGGGGGCTTATGGGGACCCATTTCCATCATTTCCATCAAAAAGAAACCAGGGTAGATTGAGAAATTCCGCATACGGTGAATTTTTTGTAAAATTTTATAGCATATAGTTTCTGCAATATTCAACTCTAAAAAATGAAAATTTCATGACACCATTTCTTTTTTGATTCAAACCATGAATTAACAGATAATTTCTTATTTGATTCAAACAGTTATTGTTGCCCTCATCAACTGCATATGACGATAGAAAAACTCAATAACTTATGAGAATGCAATAACCTAAGTCATTTCGATTTTTTTATGGAAATCCATAGGGATCAACTTTTGGGTTGTATTGTTTTAGGATATACCTGAACCCTCTAAGGTGAAAAGCGTAGTAAAGCATAGTAGGACTAGTATTCCTCTTTGGCGGCCATAGAGTGGGGATATTGAAATTCACCTTATAGGGTTAAAGCATGGGGATACCTACCTTTTGCACAGGCTTCAAGCTGGTCTTGCGCAGGATTGCCTCCTCTTTCTGTAAATAAAATTCAAAGCTTAATGAAATTTTCGAGACTAGTTCTAAAGTTATCCTTTTAGGTACGAAGGGAAAAATTTCATAGAAAAACATAGAATTCGGTAGGCAATCCATTGGACTCTCTATTAGTTTTCTGCCGATTCTATTGAAATATTGAATGAAAAATAGAATTCGATTTTGTCTGTACAACTTATTTTACCGAGATATTTTTCATAGATATGCCACGGCTCACATTTTCTCAGCCTTTTTGTTCCATATCTCTAATAAAAAAAAGAAAAAAAACAGAATGGAAAATACCGAGAAAAATCGATCGAGGAATTTCTATAGAAAATGTTTCAATAAAAAAAATTGTATAGAAAGATGAATTTCTAATGATTTTATCCATAAAAACGCGCAGTGGCCGAGGAATTCTTCAATAGAATCGGCCAAAAAAAATAGAATTTACAATAGAAGTTCAATAAAAATCCAATGGAATTTTCTATCGAATTCACTACATGATTCTATGATTTTTTCGTGCGTGTTTAAACTCCTGCAAGGCGGAATTATCATCCAAAATTACTCCAGCAATTAGTACATTAATAAATTCATCGCGTTCATGATGTGTGAGAAATGGTATGTCAGAGTTTCCTTGAGTACGCGAAGTATGAGTGAGTCGTGACTTTTGGTAAGCTGTGTACCTGAAGTGGTTGCGGTTTGCCAAGAGTACTTTTGGGTTTAGGGGTAAATCCATCCTTCTAGAAATCAAATTTATTTCGAGATGAGTATGTGAAAAATTTCGAGGATTTTGGGGTAATGCAGTGATGTCATGCCGAGTTTGTGTACCTTGAGCTCCTGGGGTTTTCCAAGAGTTGATTCGGGCTTAGCTGCCTCCTGAAATTGTGCACGTTTGTTTTTACATTTCTTGTGAATCCATGTGTAAGAATATGTTTTTTTAAAGGATGAGAAGATTTAATAAAAAAATGCCTAGTACTTTTTATAAGGAATTCTATAGAAGATCATACAACTTTACCGTGCCATTAAGTTGATAGATATTTGATAGAAAAAAGTCAATAGATTTTTATTTGTCCATGCCCAACAATTCTTGCAGAACAAATCCCAACAAAATAAGTTATACAGAAAAATCATCATCTATATTCTTATTTCTCTAGATAAATGAATAAATAAAGAAATAAATAAATGAAGAAATAATATTAATATATAAATAAATAAATATCCTTTTAGAAATGCACGAAAAAGTTGTGTAATTCTCCATAGAATTGGCGTAAAAAACAAATATAATTTTTCAATACATTCAATAGAATTTCTTAGAGAAAGTGCCAGAATTTTCTATTAAATTTTTGGGATTGTATTTGAGAAGGATTTGGAAAGTGTACCTTGGGTTCGGGCTTTTTGATACTGGGCCTGCCAGCAGTTTCGTCCTGAAATGTTTGTATTTTATTGTTAACACCAGTCGTTGTTTATTTCAAGGGCTTGAGAGCAGTAATTGTCGGGTTTGTGTATACCTTAGTGTCTTCGGGTTTGGTGAGGGCAGTCGGAGGTTTAGGCTCTTCCTGAAATGGTGCAGTTGGTTTTTTTAGTTAATATTATTATGTTTTCTATTAATTTTTTTGAAGTGTGAGCTAGAATGTTCGTGTACCGTAGGTGCTTCGGGTTTTTTGAGACTAGGTCTGCGAGTTGATTCGTCCTGAAATGTTTGTATTTTATTGTTACCACCTGGGTTTCTGTATGTGAGGAGCTTGAGAGTATTATTTGTTGGGTTTGTATACCTTAGTGTCTTCTGATTTAGTAAGAGTAGTTTGGGGTTTAGGCTCTTCCTGAAATAGTGCATTTCATTCTTAAATTCATATTATTCAATTTTCTATTATTGTTTATAGTGCGTGAGGTAAAAAGTGTACCTTTGACTGTTCTGTTTTTTTAAGACTAGGCCTGCGTGTCGATTCGTCCTGAAATGTTTGCATTTTATTGTGAATGTCTGAGTGTTCCAATTTTATATATTTGAGAGTATTGTTAGGTTGTGTATACCTTAGTGTCTTCTGGTTTAGTAACAGTTGTTTGGGGTTTAGTCTCTTCCTGAAATAGTGTATTTCATTTTTGAATTAGTATTATCGCGTCTTCTACTATTGGTTCTACTTTGTGGGCTAAAAAGTTCCCGAGTGGAAATTGTTTCAGGCCCACCTGAAGCACGATCAGAACTTGATCAGGTTTTTGTAAGGTTCGACTGATCCGGTGATTCCTGATGAGAACCTGACCAAGTTCTGATCTAGCAGATCAGATCCGAAAAACTACAGGCGGGTTCAGATCAAATTCTGATCAGGTAGACATGATCAGATGATGCTTGATGAGAACCTGACCAAGTTCTGATCTAGCAGATCAGATCCGAAAAACTACAGGCGGGTTCAGATCAAGTTCTGATCATGTTGACATGATCAGATGATGCCTGATGATGAGAACCTGACCAAGTTTTGATCCAGTAGATCGGATCCGAAAAACTGCAGGATGATTCAAATCAAGTTCTGATCAGGTAGGCACGATCTCACCCTAAGGTCGGCTGCCTGACCCCAATTTGATCAAATTCGGATTTGATATCCTTGATCGGCATTTGAAAGGGGTCAATTGAAGAAAAAATAATCAGATTCAGATCCGCTCCACCTGACATTAATTTTAATAAGTTTTTCGGATAATTTAATTAACTATTATTATACTATTCACATTTAGTTTTATCAACCATTATCAATAATTATTTTCAATCTTTAAAAAGGATCATTATACTATAATTAAAATAAATTAAATTGAATTAATTTAACTTACTGAATTTAATTTAATTAATCAATTTATTTAACAGGGGGGGGGGATGATGATGGCATAAGTACGTATTAGAGGGGTATCAAACTTACACGCAAATGATCTTGAGAAAAAAATCACCAAATGCCTATTTATTTATTAGTGTTATTGTTATTATCATTATTATTATTCATTAATGAAATGAATAAAAATTTAGTTGAACATATTTTATCTCTGAGAATACACACGCACATCCGCGAGATCAGGAATAATCGTAAATTCAACGAATACCCCGATACAAATCATATAGGCAGTGTACAATTTACTCAATAGTAATAGCACGATATAGCGTAGTGGTTAGGGCATAGGATTAGCAATCATAGGGTCCCCGGTTTGATCCCCAGCATCGGTAAAAAAATAATAAGCTTTTTCAGAGGTAATAACAGTAGAGATTCATTAAGAGAGGCGGCCTACGGTGAAAGAATTGAATTATCTTTTGTTTTGGATTAATTATCATTGATAATTGTTATTGATACTGACAGGTCATCCGGTTTTCATACAGTTGACTTGATCAAGTTTGGATCCATTCGTCCTGATCAAATCCGGCTTGGTCAGAGGCGTAACATGTCTGATCAAGTCCAGATCCGTCCACTTAATCAATACTTGATCAGTGGTCAGGTCTAACCTGATCCAAACTTGATCAAGACCTGACCGAAATTTCCACTCGGGTTCGTGTACCTTAGGTGCTTCTGGTTTTTTGAGACTAGGTCTGCGTGTAAATTCCTCCTGAAATATTTGTATTTTATTGTTAACGCCTGAGTGTTCCAATTTTATATGTTTAAGGCCCGGGTCCATTATTTGCTGAACGTTATCTAAATTGATTTTTTTGTTCGATTTTTATCTCGAAATTTCAACTCGATGCCCCGTCACTCAAGGATACTCGAAAATTCTGACTTTAGATTTAAAAAAAATGTTAAAAAATCTCAGAACATTTTGAAATAGCGTTTTTAAATAATACTAAAGAATGATTTCGAAAGAGAAGATAGGAATATTGTATAATTACCGTGGCAAATGACGGCCTGTCAGTCGCCACCATGGGGGAGGAAAGACGAAATAATAAATCCTTTGACACACCGCAACAAGATGAATGTACGAAAAAAAGCTCTTTGAAAAAATTTGTAAGATTTTTAAGAATTTTTTGATCACACTTTTACGATGAATTACTAATCACTTACGCTAATCTCCATTGATAATTGTACTGGCGATCAGCTGTCATTTTTACCGGGAATTGAAAACAGGAAAATCGCTCTGTCTTCCTTTTTTTGCGCCCCGACAAAAGTGACGATTGATGGACAGTACAACTTTCAATTGAGGAGATTGGTGTAAGTGATTCATCGTAAAAGTGTGATCACAAAATTGTTAAAAATATTATAAAATTTTTCAAAGAGCCTTTTTTTGTACAATTGTCTGGTTGCGCTGTGCCAAAGCATTTATTATTTCGTCTTTCCCCCCCCCCCCCCAGGG